GTAAGTGTGTGTAAATCACGATATTTTATTATTATTATTTAATTAACCCCCACAATTAAGATTTGTGATAAGAAATAAATAACTAACACTCATAATAATACCGAATATAAATAACAAATTTATATACTGTTCGTACCTAGAGACGACTGATTTTTTTTTACTTTATTTGTTATTTTTTTTATCAATGTGTGAATTTATTAGTATTTGTTGCGAGGGAAAATGGGGTGACTTTATTAAGGGGATTGTTAGATTACAAATACCAACAAAATTAAAAAAAAATCGAAACCCACAGATCAGAGAATAATTTTCTGCTGCATACAGGAGATCAGTTTACTGCGGGTTTCCACTTGTATTTTGTACCACGTTTTCTGGATAAAGGCCCGTAATTGTACGTTCCTAGCCAAGCCATTTCCGAACAAATTAATTTTTGTTTCGTCGGTCCATACGATATTACCCCATTTATTATTCACCCTCTGGTCCGGACCAATTTGAGTAAATTCTGGCGAAAGTCAGCCGTATCTTTAATTGTTTTGGCAGAAGCAAAATAATTCTTCTGGCTATTCTACCAGGTAAATTGGCATTGTATAGCCTTCAACGAGCCGTTCGGGAAGAAATTACGTTACCAATATCTGCAGAAAAGGCTCTGGAAGAGATGAACGGGTCTTTTTTGCCATAGTAATTATGCGATTATCCGTTGTTGGAGATGTTTTCTTTGGATTTCCACGGTGTTCAGCTGATAGTTGTCTCTTAAGCGCATTTTGTACAAAAGATAAGGAACGATCCAAGGTTCCGGTAATAAAAGGAAGACTTTTTCCCTTATTTCTTAGCGTCAACGCAGTTCTCTTCTTTTCGATAGTTTAAAGCTTGCCTCAACCCATCTATTAAACATTTTTCCATTTATTTTATAAAAACTAAATGGGTATTTAATAAAAATCACAAACCTTTTCAAAAAACCCGATTAAAAACTTAAAAATGCAAATATAATTAAAATGTATTTTTTTGTCCAAGCAGCGAAAGTTCTCCACGAACAAAAAATGCCAAAATTTGAAAAATGGAAGATAATTTTGGTATTGTCATATCAAAACCGATAAAATAACATGGAGTTTCCACTAACACTTAAAGCCACATTCAAATTTAATACACGAAACTGTATTGAATAGAAGTGTATTTATTTTTTGTCCAGGTGTGTAGTCCTATCCTACTGTGGGACTTTTTCAACTACACAGTCAGCTAGAGACTCACCAACTCCCCCTTTAACACATAGCTGACACCGTTCCATGCTTTATAGTCATCACTAGTATGATTATGACTGGAGCACCCTCATTTTCTCTTCTTTGGTCTGCGCTTTGGGAATTTTATCAAGAATTACTTTCTGACCCATTGTGCATTGTCTGTCTATCCAATATTCCCGATACAATTAAATTATATTTTGGCTAACGGTTCGAAGACTCTGGAATCCACTCAAGAATGACCTCTGCCTAACATCCTCTATGGACAAAAAACTAGCCCCCTTTAGTTTCGGTCAAAATTTGCAATTAAAATTCTACAATTTAAGATAAAAAATCATTTAATAAACTCAACACACAACTTAAAGAATGCAACCTTCCTTGTCAGCTTAATAAACTTTAATTTAAAATAATGTTAAAGAAACTTTTCTCCAACCATTATTTTTAACTTAATGCTTATTTTCTCTTGCTGCAATTGGTTTTAGTTTGCCTGCTGCCTTCATTCTGGCAACAGAAGAGGAGGAAGGCAAAGGAAATGAGAGGAGAGGAAAAGTAGATAACTTACAAACTCAATTTCATATTTACATGGTTAAATAAACAAACTGGTATTTTTATTTATTTATAACCATAAACTTGACATACATTCTTATTAAATAAAATACACTGCACAGCTCTTCTTGTACACAGAACCCAGTAAGTTGTGGAGACAAGGAGTCAAGGTAGCTCGCTAGAATTACTTGGTTGGGACAACTTAAGTGTGTCTAAGATAGATAGATTAGAACAGATAAGATAGATAGATAGTATGATAGATAGATTAAGATAGATAGATAGATTAGATAGATAGATAGATAGATGATAGATAGATAGATATAGGATAGATAGATAGATAGATAGATAGATAATAGATAGTAGATAGATATATAATAGATAGATAGATAGTAGATCCGCTCGCTCGCTAGCTCTATCGCTCGCTCGCTCGTCGCTCGTCTCTAGCTCGCTCGCTCGCTCGCTTCGCTCGCTCGCTCGCTACTCGCTCGCTCGCTCGCTCGCTCCTCGCTACCTCGCTCGCTCTCTCGCTCGCTGACTCGCTCGCTCGCTCCGCTCGCTCGCTCAGCCGCTGCTCCTGCTCGCTCGCTCGCTCGCTCGCTCGCTCGCTCGCTCGCTCGCTCGCTCGCTCGCTCGCTCGCTCGCTCGCTCGCTCGCTCGCTCGCTCGCTCGCTCGCTCGCTCGCTCGCTCGCTCGCTCGCTCGCTCGCTCGCTCGCTCGCTCCTCGCTCGCTCGCTCGCTCGCTCGCTCGCTCGCTGCTCGCTCGCTTCGCTCGCTCGCTCGCTCGCTCGCTCGCTCGCTCGCTCGCTTCGCTCGCTACGCTCGCTCGCTCGCTCGCTCGCTGCTCGCTCGCTCGCTGCTCGCTCGCTCGCTCGCTCGCTCGCTCGCTCGCTCGCTCGCTCGCTCGCTCCTCGCTCGCTCGCTCGCGCTCGCTCGCTCGCTCTGCTCGCTCGCTCGCTCGCTCGCTCGCTCGCTCGCTCGCTCGCTCGCTCGCTCGCTCGCTCGCTCGCTCGCTCGCTCGCTCGCTTCGCTCGCTCGCTCGCTCGCTCGCTCGCTCGCTCGCTCGCTCGCTCGCTCGCTCGCTCGCTCGCTGCTCGCTCGCTCGCTCGCTCGCTCGCTCGCTCGCTCGCTCGCTCGCTGCTCGCTGCTCGCTGCTCGCTGCTCGCTGCTCGTGGCTCGCTGCTCGCTGCTCGCTGCTCGCTGGCTCGCTGGCTCGCTGGCTCGCTGGCTCGCTGCTCGCTGGCTCGCTGGCTCGCTCGTGCTCGCTCGCTCTCTCGCTCGCTCGCTCGCTCGCTCGCTCGCTCGCTCGCTCGCTCGCTCGCTCGCTCGCTCGCTCGCTCGCTCGCTCGCTCGCTCGCTCGCTCGCTCGCTGCTCGCTCGCGCTCGCTCGCTCGCTCGCTCGCTCGCTCGCTCGCTCGCTCTAGCTCGCTCGCTCGCTCTCGCTCGCCGCTCGACAGATTGACAGATTGACAGATTGGCTAGGTTATTTAGTTCGTTAGATTCCCACCAGAGTCTCTCCCCCTATAGTGCAGGGAAAGTCAATCGTGACTATACTGTCCTTAAGCTGTCTAGAGCGAAATCACTAAAAGAGATCAATTGGTAGATAGATATGTATGTCCTAAAACTAATGAAATATTAAAATCACAACATCGGTACCGCTACTCCGAACTGTAGGGAAGTCAAAATAAACTACCACAGCAACAATTGCAAACAATACACCGCTGGAAGTATGCTCCGTAAAACATACACGATATACAAGAGTTCAATTACTTTTAATTGCACGTAAATGGAAGAAAAGAGAAAAACTAAAAAAATATTATTTAAAGAAATTAAAGAGATCAAGATACATTAAACATGTATGAATTACAATTACAAATTAATTGCTCTAAATATAGACAAATATCTACATATTAACAGTAACAATAACAATAAAATCAAGAAAAATCTTAAATACTTCAATTGATTTCATAATTGTCGATTGGCGGCATCTTATTTTGAATCAATGATATTATTAACATTGAATCGAATAAACAAAATTGTATAAAGAATTCTAAACAACCACAATTGATCATGATGATTATGATTGAATACCTATTGAACTTTGACCCAAAATGATTGCGTATTTTTTTTTTTTTTTTCAAATGAATAATGTTTATTAATTGAGGTATAAGTTTAAAATGTCACATGAAATACGATCATTAAGTTATTAATAGTTATTATTGGAATGAATTTATAAAATTTTATATAAAATCAATGTTTACGGTATTGTGATTAAAGTCTGAAAAGTACAGAATTTTTCAAAAATAATAAATTAAAACAAATTGAAACAATGTTTGTATTTTTATATACATGTTATTACAATTCGCATTAAATGAAGTAAAAAGTATTTTTTTTTTAATTTTAATAAAAAAATTTAATAAAAAGGAATAACTAAATATCTAATATACATACACATGTAACTTTTAAACAAACTATTTCCAACAGTTAATAAAAAATCTTTAATATAAATTTTAAATTTTCAATTAAAGCTAATAATAGCAAACATGTTCGTCTTAAAAGAATTGTGATAAATGTCTTGACTTTTAATTTTTACAATATTGAATAATTTCTTGTTTCTTGTATTCACATCCACATTTTCTTAACATTATTAACATACGAGTGAGTGGTATGTTTCTTTTCAAAGAACAATTTTCATTTTTTCCTTCTCATATCAAAAAACAATAGAGTTCATTTTCATATTTTCACAACAGACTCGATATTGTACTTGTATGTACATATGTATGTATGTATTTACTTACATACGACGCTCATTGAAATCCCCCGCTATGGAATTGTCTAAAATAATGTTTCTTTATTTTCTTAGATTATGAAAAAAAAAAAAAATCTGAATCATATAAAAGCTTATTTTTGCTTATTGTTGTATTTAACAACAAATAAGAAGAAAAATATTTTTTATACACAATGGGATATATAGCATTTTTTTAAGAACAATTAGAGGAATATTTTCTTTCAGACTTTATTGTTTTAGATTCTTAATAAATGTTTAAACAGGGAGAAGTGTAAAAGGGCCTAAAGAACAAATTTTTAAACACTTGATTAGATTATAACATAGACTATAGACTAGACTATAGACTATACTATAGACTAGACTATAGACTAGACTATAGACTAGATTATAGACTAGACTATAGACTAGACTATAGATTATACTATAGACTATACTATAGA